TGAGAAAACACACGTAAATGCAATGTATCTCCTGCTGACGTTAACTGTTAACAATAAGGAAAAAGAAAGAAAGAAATGACAAAGATAAAAATGTTGTTTAGTTTTTCTTCTGGAAGGATAATTAGAATGCGCAGGCAGAGAAGAAAGCCTTTTCTCATTTTTTTTCCTTTCTCTTCCCGCTTCTCGTTTTTCTCTTTTTCGACATTAAGCTAAACTTATTAGCTAGACAGAAGCTAACAACAGATGTCTTTTACTACGTCATCATCTCAAATATGTTCGTTCAAGAATTTCAAGTACATCCCCTGGGAATTTCAATTATGTAATGCAGAAATAAAACACTTTTTTCAGTAATGAGCATCGTCTCAGATGAAATTCAACAGTATTCAATTACGTTTGACTAGTTTTATGTGACGAAGCCAATCGTTCGAAATGTCATTTGACAAAACTTTTCTTCCGAAACGAAGTATAGATACGATTATTTGCTTAAAATGTTCCGATAAACAACATCGTATGTTGTCGATATTACGCTTTGACTTAGAAACTTAGTTTTCTCTTCGTCATCTTCATAGTTGTGAGGATTAATTCTAAATTCAATTACTTAAATAAGTTTCTTCATTAAACTAAATCCGACTTGAATGTTATTATCCTTAAGTATATTGTTAAGTTTCTATTTTTAAGCGAAATTCCTTTTTACATTCAATTTTCTGATTAACGAGGTCTGTGCAATAAGACAGTATTATAAAGATTAGCCCGAAGTTCTAATATGATGTTTGTGTCTGACAGCACCTACTGTTTCAAATCTGGAATTTCTAAATATATTTCACGACTGTCAGTGAAATATTTCTTAAAAAGAAGCCCTTTCTTCTGCACATACCCAGTTAAATTGAGTATTAACTTGTTTATTTAGATCTAAATTTAGTTGATGAGGGTGTGATCAATTGCCAATAACATGCATAATGAGCATGTTCACTCTCATTTTTTCCTATTAAATTGAGATGTATTTGCGAAGATGACTATGCGAGATGCTGATGGAAGAGACTGGGGAAATATCTCATATCATTTTTTGCCTCTAGACCTGCTCCGCCTTCACACTCATTACACGATAATTATGATATTAAAAGACATTAAAACCACCATTATTAATCCAGTCATTTTGAATAATAGTTTGTTTATGAAAAAGCAGCAAGAAATAATTTTTCTACGGAATGATGGAATTCCTGATTAGCAGAAACACATTTTGTAAATAAGCACACAATGAATATTTCCAGCACAATTCTATTACTAATGTGTACTTGATCACCTTCTCGTTAAAAGTAAAAACATTTTCCTGACAAATAATAAGATATGACAAATATAGAAACAGTATTATTATCGTTATAGTCATGTATATTATGTAAGTAGTGCTAGACGTAGAACATAAAAGTACTATAAATTGCAATCCAGAGGTTCTTGGTATCAAGTCTTCGTTTCTAGTTTATTATTAAGCTCAATTAATTAGTTGTTGACTAGAAATTTCATAGTGTTGAGCCGTGTGAACGTTTCCCGAAATTATCTTGGTTAGTGTCAGTCATTGGCGTTTGGTATACGAATGTAAGACTAAAGATTAATCAGTTCACAGAGGGTGTTGCACTATTTTCGGAACTCGAACAGGAGAACCGCTCGAAGTAATTCTTCTTTTTTGGGAATGAACTCCGTGCATAAAGAAGATCTCAGTGAGATATGTAAAATCCTTAAAAGGATAAGAGCCTACAGACCTTGGGTGTAGAATTATGAGCATTTTGCTGGATTTTGTACTGAAGCGTGATATGTACCAAGAAATCGATTTGATGATAATAGCGTTTCGTTGTCGGGATGTCTCAGTACTGAAAGACAAAAGCTTTTGAAGAATTTGCATATGACATGAATGATTTCTTTACTGAGATATCTCGACAACGGAACGCTATTTTCATTTCAAATTGTCAGCACATACCTATCATTGACAGACTACTTTGTCGGCAAAGTATCTGGTCGGAATATCATCAAATCGATTCCTTGGTACATATCACGCTTCAGTACAAAATCTAGCAAAATGCTCATAATTCTACACCTACGGTTTATAGGCTCTTATCCTTTTGAGGATTTTACACATCTCACTGAGATCTTCTTTATACACGGAGTTGATTCCCAAAAAGAAGAATTACTTCGAGTGGATCCCTCGTAAGACGTTCATGTTGGATGTAAGTATTATGGAAGACGTTAAAAGAAAGCTTAGCAGATCACTACACGCTGCGCTATAGTACCAAACTATGTGCCTCAATACTTGTATGTGTATCTGAATAACACAGTATCCATATAGAGCACAATGACGTAGTCAGGAAAGAATTATAGAAGTGGTAATGCATCCTGCGCTCTGTATCTCCGGCAGATAAGCAGAATGGTGTAGACATAGTATCAATAATATCATATTTAGCTATCGGTCTTCTTTAAGATTGTTCTGAGGAATTATATAATCAGATTTCGAATGAACATTGACAATAGTTCATGTATCCATAAATTGTGATATGCATTCCTATTCGGACCGGTCAGTGCTACCGACATCTCTAATTGTGAGGCAGTTATTAAGAAAAAAGTAACATAAATTATTCCATTCTCATTGATTCATTTGCTTAACAAATATTTGCATAAATATATGCACGTGGCGAAGTGTTTGAGATTCGTAGACGCTATTTCATCATTTATTTCAACAAAATATAAGATATCACACAAGATATAGCTTTTCATCCATCTATGTACAATTATTCGTTTTGATATAAATGAAGAAAACAATAACTAAATGGTTAAAATTGATTGTCATCACTTTCCATGGGTGACAAATTATGAATATTAGGTTGAAATTGTTTGCTTGAATAGTATTTATCATTAATAAAAAGACTGATTTCACCATAAGCTTCTTTTTGGTGTGCCTTCAATCGTCCTTCACCACAAAGTACTAAAATCAGTAATAAACGAGCTAACTGAGTCAACATCGAAACACAAATGTATGAATTTACCAAGTAAAACACTGAAAAGGCGTGATGCTTGAATTCGAGTTGTATCTGATTGATTGAGAAACTCGCTAAATGCTCCACCATCGGGTTTACTCGCCGAACTGCAAGAGAAATGAATCATTTTTGGAAGAAGCTTATTTTATGTTCATTACGTGAGAAGATCATCGATCGCTTTTTGTTTATGTTTATCCTGCCAAGTTGGTAATGGTTCAACTGGTGCCGGAACGATACTTTGAGCTCGTCGTTTTGATTGTAATGGCGAAAGTGGCTGTTGAATATCAGGCAATGGTTCGAATGGTTGCGGCAGATTGATCGGAAGATCATCAAAACCACTGGGAAATGTCGGAAGTATGCCTCCATCACTGGTTGTTGGTGGTAATTGAGATGCACGCTTTTAGAAAAAATCAAAATAATTATTCAGTAGATCAAATGAACTAACGTCTTGCAATGTTGGGACAATTGATGAAGGTGATCGAGTGCCTGCTTTCGGTAGAAGACCACCTGAGAGAAAATAAAAGAAAGAATGCAATGAGAGTCAATATGAGGAACAAAGTTTGGAATTACTTGATTGACCGCGTCGAATTGCTAATTCTTGACCTGTACGACGTATTTGAGCAAGATTAACGGATTCATCTATGTATTTCATATACGATGTTACCGAGACTATAAACTTGTCGAAGATAGTCTTTACCTGGATCAGTAAATACTTTGGCAATATTTGCAATATCATCGATAAGAGCATCAAGATCGACTGTTGATAACGCCGTTTTAGCTTTATCCAATAAGTTGTTCATTCGTTTGGTTCCGTTCTTTAATGAACGAAAGAAGTTTTATTATTTCAGAAAGTATAAAACTTACTCGACCAATTAATGTGGGCCATGGTTTGTATTGTTGTTTATTCTTTTCAAATATTTCTTGTTCTTCTTCCTCATATTCTCTCAATGCATCATAATTGAAATCAACAATATCTCGATAAAGTGCTACATCTTTTCGTTTTTTGTTCAATGCATTTGGTGCATTGCGTTTCTTTTTCGAAACACGAAAATATTCCTTTTTATTTTCAGATGAAACCATATTCACATCAGGTACTTGAGCATCGATACCTAAACCCATAGGTACATCATGTGGCAATTGCTAAAACGATGAATGAATACAAGAAAAAAAAGAATAAGACAAAAGTAAGCTTTACTTGGTCCGGTAATGTATCCATTTGTACAGGCATTTCATCAACACCAATCATTGTCGGTTCTTGGACAGTAATCAATGGAACATTACCACTTGGAATACAATCGGCGCCGAATAGAATAGTTTTTGTTGGCGTTGTACTAGATCATAGAAACATGAAGAAAGTTGCACAAATATTCACAAGAAAAGCTTTGAACCTATAAATTGGATATGTATCGATTGCACTGGTAATAAAAGCCAATGCATCGGTTGAGAACTGATCACGCGTAATAGCTGTGGGACGATCTGATGGAACAGGTGTGACTACTGTTGTATCCATTGGTAAGATTGGCAATGGTGGTGGTAAATCAGATGTTGCCGAGCGTTGTGGTCGATGTTCATCAATTGTTCGTTCTTCACTGGGATGAATATGCCGATCACTCGTACCCATGTGTCGATCAGCTCGGGGTGCTAAAAGTTTCAAATGGAAATTCGAAATAGGTTAGAGAATTTGAAAGAAAAGCACCTCGAAGTAATTCTTTGCTTCTTTCCTCCGATGCAGCGCGAAAGAACGTTCGATCTTCGCGCTCATCGACATCCATTACTGTTGTAGTCGGTGGCGGTTGTTGTGAAGCAGGTAATGGTTCACCGAAGCGATCATCGATGATATCGAATGTCGGCATTGGTTCCTAGCAAAAGGACGCATATCAATCGAATACATTGTTTTGTGTGTTTAATACTTACTTCAATATCAGGCAACAAGGTTATACGTTTTCCATGAGTTGGTTTGGATACTTCCCATGGAAGCGGAGGTAAGTTGTCCTTTGAAAGTGATTAACAAGAGAAGAAATTCTACTTCAGTAAACAGCGGATCAACAAACCGGTGTTTGAATACGTTCTGGTGGCGTTGATTGCCGCGGTAATTCAATTGAGAAATCTCGTTCTAATAGCATTCGTTCGTCAGGTAAGAGATTTTCGTCGATATCAATTTGCCATTGTGTAGTCGTTAACACTGTTTCTTTTTTCCGAGTTAATTTCGCTTTTGTCGGATCGTCGAATTCAAAAAACCTATTCAAAACTATCAGAAACTTATGAAGAAATAGTCGCTTACCGATGTACCACCGCATCCTTATATAATTTTTCCACATCCTCTAGAGAAGGAAAACGTAGAAAGTCATAAATGAAGTGTAGATCGACACCTACGATGCCACAGAATAACGCTTTTTGAGTAAACATATGTCAGACCAAGCAAGAGATGACTATCAAGAACCAATGCTAATGGCGAACGACGACGAGTTGTCGAATTGACATATTGAAGAACATCTTTGCTGCATAACAGACAAGAAAGAGAGATTTTGAAAAAGAAGAAATCTATCGCATGGAGTCTCACTAGATAGTTTTGAAACTTGCTGAATTGATCAAAGCTTTTGTTACTAAACGTCGTTGGCCAGCACATTTCCTAAGGCGAAAATGAACAATTGTAAAAACGATATGGTTAATTGACTTTACCAAAGAATTTGCAGTGAAGGACTATGAGCAAAAACATTTTGTGTTTTTCGTGTTGAAGTCATCTGACGAACGTTGACTTGATCTTACTTACTGATTGTTAACAATGATCAAAACATTCTTTCCTTTTCGAAAAAAATCAATGGACGTGCTTGTCCGTCAGTGGTTGCGAGAGAAGAAAAAGAAAAGAAGATATACGCTGGGCTGAATCATCTTCAGTAAAACATATCGCCCAGAAAAGAAACGTTTTTGTGGTTTCATGCTGAACTACTGTTTCCGATCGTTTCAAAGAATATATTCGAGACATGTAGTTTAATCTTTACGTTTTTTTCTTCTTCAAATAAATAACGAAAGAAAAATAGACACAACGATGATTCATAATCGATGAATATTAAACGAACGTTTCGTTGAAATAATCAATTGATTTGGTTTGAAACAATGAATATAACAAATCTCATCTTCATATTTAGAAACGTTCTTCGTTTTCCCGTCACTCGTCAAATGATACAACGATGATGAACCCCAATCAGCTATTAACCATGCATTATGATTGTAGATACAACATTGAATCTTTCGTTCACTGTAATCTGTTTGCAGCCGATAGATCCATATCCGATCNGACAGTTGATCTCGAATCATATGTATGTTCGTGTATTCGTCATGATTTCATTTATTTGATTGATTGTAGGAAGTGAAATGTGATGATGAAGAAATCCAATCGATGATTGAAGTGACCGTGAAACACATGGGTGCATGTATTCAACCACCGCATCTAACTCCGACACCACTAGAAATTCCTTGAAATCTTTTTTAAAGTTTTTGTTAATCAATTGTTCAATAAAAATGTAAAAACAAGAAATTAAAAAGATGTTAATCACGACATTGTTTGCCATTCACATGACACTTTGTTCTTGGAAGAAATATAAGATCATATTTTGTTGATCAGCGTTTATTTTTCAACATGCCCGATATGTAGAGATATATTCTTATTAGTAGAGATATGAGAACTTGTGGTCAACAGTGAGACATGTATAATATAAATGAGTTAATGACTCGGCATAGCACAACAAGAAACTCACAAAGAACTAATCGATATTTATCTTTTCATGAACAAAACATCTAATTCATAACAAGTGATTTGTAACCGAATTATTTTTCTTGCATTTAATCATCGTGAAATCTCACTTTCGGCACTAAACAAAATCAGATGCTGATCATGCAGCGAATGCTTAGAAGAGACTATAGAGCAATAAATAACGAAATAATTTTATTTATAGAAAATAGAAAATCGTACGATGTGCATCTCAAGAATATCCAATTAATCACTCACCATTTCATTATTAATGTTGTCATCGGTGGAGATTGATGAGACATGTCAGATGTCGGAAGAAAAGCTATGACATTTCATTTCGTCTGTCTCATTCACGAGAAAATGAGCACGAGGTAACTTGAGGGTATTCCAGTAAGAAGTTAAATCGACTGAATACAAAAGTATCGACAATATTATCGAAGAAATCTGATTAACTGTTTGAAAATGATAATTTAAAAATAGAGAGCAGTTTTTATCAACTTCCTTTCATTTACTGAATGTTTGATAAAATAAAATAACACTGAAGAATGCATTAGAACGACATGTTCTCGTTTGGAAACATCTATGAAATCAAATGTTATACTTGACATGAGAGAGATCGTGAGTGTTTGAAACGAGAGACCGCAATTTCTGTCCTAATTTATTATTAAATATAACTAATTAGTTATTAATTATCAGTTGTACAGTGCTGAGCAATATAAACTTTCAAAACATGAATTTGCTGAGTGGCGTGAACGCCGAAAGATCACATTTATACAAATTGACGTAGTATTGAAAGCATTTTCTTCTTCGCTATACTTCAAACGGTTGTCTGATATGCTATTGCGGTGCTCATAAGCATTAATTAAAGGGTACACTTCACCTCAATATCAGATAGTTGAAAAACTATGTGTAGGTAACTAAGATCTAGTGATTTATCCTGATATATGGAGTGAGTAAACTTAGTTTTCGTTCATTGATGTATTTAAATTCTCTCGAATATCTTCGAGTAGATGAACACATGACTGAATCGATTGTTCGTTGGCTCACAAGGATTTCTGTAGCTATTAGTTTCTCTCGTCGCCTTGTCGCAGATGTGCATCGTGTCACACTGCTCAGCGCTATGTAAATAATAATTAATGTCTAATCAGTTACGTTCAATTAATAAATTAAAGCCAAAATTCCTGTAACCATTTGAAACATGACCATTTCACCTTTACGGGTAGCCTTATATTCCTAAGATCACACAAAGGAAGAACATTAGTTCTCGTCATGTGAGAAGTCTCATGCTGCGTGTTATAAAAGTCGCCTCTACTAAGAATACTACTTTTATATTTTTAAATGTGTTAAAGGCCTGGATAAAAATCATTGTAACATAGACGAAAACACATTCATGAGATGTGTTCAGTCAAGTTTTATACAAATCTGTTTACAGTTCAAAGGCAAGGATTGTCTTGACGTCGAGTCGCATTGTCACTCCAGTAGACACATGAACAAGAACAAGTTAATCTTTTTGTTATATATTACAAAAAGATTAAAGAGGGAAACGAAAAATAAGTTTCACCACTTATTAAGCGGATTATCAAAAGTACGGAATCTCGAAACGCCGACAAAGAAGCTTTCCTAAAAAATTTTTCGAAGATTACTAAAAACGTCTGTTATGTCTTTCTATATTTAAACATTTTCCGTTCAGCGCTGAAAAGGAAGTCATTCGTTACTCATCCCTATACTAACTTACCAAATAATTAAAATAATTATGAAACAAATTAACACATAGTCCTAACAGGATGTTGTCCTGTCAAAATATAACGCCAAACAGGAAGTGATAAATCGTGATATCATTTGAAAAGATTATTGAATTCTAAGTTAACTTGGCCATTGTATCTAATCAAACTGATTTCCGTACAGTATCTTTGTGTAAAAGTAGCTATTTTCTAATTGATTAAATCTTTTACTAGATACATTACGCATCTAATATGCGTATTATAATTTGTCATGATCTACCTACATAGACTTTCTTTTTCTGGGTGACGCGTCGACGTAGAATTGAATTTTCTTCAAAATAGAGTTTTAATCTTTGAATAAGCCATACTGAATGCGCGGATTTGTTAATTAATAAAGAGATTCTCACTTCCAGAATGTTTTTCTGTGCGTTCACATGCAAAAAAGAGCAGTCTTGTACGCAAAACTATGCGTTTCTATTTAAAACATGTCATCCTTTCCTGATCTAATCATCTTATTATTACAGTTAATCTCTTTGATTCACTGAGTTTCTCTCATTGATGATATCAATGCTACAGTATAAGACTTCTCATCTGTTTTAGCATCTGCTAAAGAATGGATGACCTTTTGGACAATATTACAAAGGTGATATGAGCATATATTTATATGCTTATGAAAAGAACAGATCGGATCAACTACGTTTCGTACCATCCATGAAATTCCTTCCGAAAACCCTTACTTTTTTATGTTTGGACCAATAAAGTGATTATCAGATAGATATAAATTAAGTGAAGTAAAAACGGATCAAGCTTGCTGCACCATTTATCTTTCTTGTACTCCGATTATTTAATTGTTAATGAGATTTTTAAATAACATAATTAGCATTTTTAGTAGGAAAAGTTTTACAGAAAATTTTTTCCGCTTTCCGCACGTTCTAGGCAAGAAGTTTTTTTAACGGATATCTATTTTCAATAGAAGAAAACTATTTTTTCCATTTTGTAGACATTATCAAGAAAGATAGACGATAACTAACACGTTTAGTTCATTGTTTTGAGAGAATACTTTTCCGAAGCCTGATCTACATCGAATATCACTGAATATTCCGTTTCATGATCTTTCATTTTGAGTAACACTATTTGAGATTAAGTTGTCTCGAGAGTTGAAAAATGGCTTAGTTAAAAGCAAGTCAGTTATGAATATTAGAAAAAAAAACAAAAGCAAGTTAGAAAAGCGAACTTACCTCGTACGATTTGCTGCTATTTTAGAAGAAAAGATATCTCCAAATCCGATCAATGCCGTCAACAACGCAACGAGATCCAACGTTGGCATTAATCACTCGTGTGCTCACCTATTATGGCTATTCAATTATGCTCATCTTTGGTAATATAGGCAACATTTTTAATATCATACTCTTTCTACAAAAGAAACTACGGAAAATATCGTGTAATAATTGTAAGTAGCACAAGAGTGAACTTTTCGAATACTAATCAATATCTTGATCAATTTTGTAGATTTTTTAGTGACAGCATTGACCAACATCATCGCTTTGAATGTTGGCATTTCAACATTGATTCATGCTGAATCAGAACCATCAGATATAACAACAACATATTGTAAAATCGACGGATATATTATGAACGTGTGTCTTCAAGTGTCTCGATATTTAATAGTTATTGCATGCTTCGATCGATATGCAATGTGTTCCACTAATGCTTTCATTCGGAAATTTTCTCGCGTACGCATTGCTCGTCGATATGTTATTCCTTGTGTTGTTTTTATATGGATGGTTGTTCCCATTCACGTACCTATTTTGATTACAGCGCAAAACAGCACGTGTACATTCGTTGATAAAGGAGCGTTTTATAACAGTATTTATGGGCTCCTTCTAATTGGTATTCTTCCGCCTGTTTTAATGTTCGTTTTTTCGTTATTAATATTCCATAATCTTAAATTACGACAACACCGTCGTCAGATTCATCCAGTGGTTACTGGACAATTAGTTACACCAATTCATGATATGCAACGTTTGAAAACAAAAGATCAACAAGTATTTGCAATGCTACTCGTTCAAGTCTTTGCATATGTAGCTTCAAGTACACCCTATACGATTACATTGCTGTATGTCGTGTTGAAATCAGTAGTAACAGTGGAGGAGACGACGGTGGATGCACCTACTACGACATTCATTTTATTTGTAACCGATATGCTTCGTTTCGTATGTCCATTCACCTCATTTTATTTATTTCTATTTGTTTCTCAACTTTATCGACGAGAAATGGTATTGATCATACGGAAAATTCTTCACTACAGTCGTCTGTTGTTGCATCCACCTCATACAGATAATCTTGATAGAGCTGGATCACAACACCATCGTTCGAGTACATAAGCAGAATGTCAATCATAACAGAATAGTCAGCCGATCGAACGAATTCAAGAACTATTTGAAAATATATTCTCATCATAAAGCTTCATTCTTATTGGAATTTTTCTCTTTTTTTCATTTGCCAAGATTTTGTAAAAGATTTTACTGTTTCTGTCAATAAAACTAAATGTCTCGATCGTTTTATGAATGTATATTTCACATGAGATAGCAGAAAATTGGAAAAAATGCTATAGTGTAATGTTTCGTAGTAATTTCACTTTGTGTTCCGTGAATTCAATTATTAAACGATTAAAGTTTCGCTCTTCTAACTTTATAGCATTGGTTTCTCTTTGAAAATATGTTTAAGTTATGAATACAAATTGTTTGTACGACTTGCTCACAAATCTACTTTACTGCTTAATTGATATTGAATTATATGATTTATTAGTCAAGTTGTTTTCAATACTTTCATTATTAGAAATAAATTAAAAATGAACAACGAATAATCCAGCTTTCAGACACTGCCGAATTTCCATCGAATCCGATGGAGTGTACCTGCTTTCAGCAGCCATGCCTTAAAGCGTAAGAAAGATTGAGAACCTCAAACACGACGTTAGCTTCTTCTTGTGCACCTTTTCCCGAATCTTATTCGATATATAGTCTATCTGGAATGAGATCTCTCCGATTCGTTATAAGTATGTGTGAACCCTCGGCTCTTCTATGCTAAAAGAAGAACATTATATGAGGTACAGTAGAATCTGGCTGATACTAAACATGGTATAAAGCTAAACGTATTCATTATAATCGACTAGGCAAAAACGGCTTTTTTTACAAAGAGACCAGTGGCTTGGTTTATGAGGTAAAACAAGTCTCTATGTTATTTCAAGTGTACTGAACGATATAGTTCTACCATTTTAGTACCAGATCAGCGAGCTCAATGGCGGGTATTACTTATAAGTCATGTATGTATATTGAAATGATTCTCATTGTGCACATATTCGTTATCTTGAACTTGGTGTTCGCTTTTGTAGGAAATATTAGATCTAAGCTGAAAATTCAACTAGATTTACCGTCAGAAGATAATGTTTTTGAGCGTGAGCGCTTTGATCAGAACAAATGTGGAAGAGTATTTTTCTTCACGTGCTATGATAAGTTTCTCCAACTACTGAGAAGTAAAGAACATTAATTTATCCAAACATGTTTACCTAATTTTAACAATGACAATGTCCTCTCTCTATTTTTAGTGGCAATAAAAAGTGACTGTATACACAATTAAGAAGTTTCGATGTTGTGCGACGTGATTTTATTTACTAAAAACAAAATGCGCATCTTTTCTTTCCTTGACTACGTAGCTGATTTGCATACGGGCACACTCATCTATGACTGCTTTATATATTCGTATATACAAATTCTGTCGATCCCATTGTATCGGACTCCGTGAATAACACTGCTGGTTGTTGCAAATTCTATTGCTTATCTACAACACATACAGACTGTTACTACACAGTTGTATTCGTAGTTTGTGTGCTATTAATAAACAAACGGAGACTAAATGTGCGCAAAATGTCTTGATTAAAAATAAAAATATCTAAACTTAGATGACGATACTTTGCATACTTTCAATCCACTCGTCTTATATGAGTGTGTTTTCACCAACTGCTGTTAACCCCTTGCAATCGGACGGGATATATACATACCATTTCAGATACATCTCAAAACTTAGTAATACTACAGGTATAAAATCGGTCTGGACTGGCTTCAGATAGCCAAAATCCACTTCTGTTCAATGATCATCATCTCGTGCAAGTTTTCAATTACCAATAAATGCAGAGAACTCAAAGACAGGTACCCAAACCAAATGTAATATACTTTCTCTTACAGTGTAATGTTAAGGAATACTACGAACATATAATATCTTATAGCACGCAGACTATGATGTCGAATTACGCACGACTGACTCGTTTCACTTTTGTCATCAATCAAAAGATAGATCTCAGAGCGAGCGTACAACAGCAGTCTATCATTAGATACCAAATGTACCAGTCCAAATCTGACTGAGAATATTTATACAAATGGTCGTCTTCCGTATTCTCATACGACCTCAAACTTCTTAACATTTCAAGCATTGTAGAGATTTTCGTCGTAAGCAAACCATAAACGAAAAGCCCTGTTATCAGACTAATATACGAACAACCTCGAGAGTATATTGCAATGCTTTTTTCACGATATAATACTGCGCAACCAACACGTCCCTGGGTATTTTCCTATGGATTAACACCAAGAGTGAAAAGAGCTGATCATAATCGACAAAAAACTACTTTCCAGACTACGCTGACGGTGGGAAATGGTTAATCTAACAGAGCGATTTGCTGCGCTATTTTTCAATTATTCCCTCTTCACCATGGCATTCTAGCCGCTTCATAACACATTACTTCTTTCAAATGCACCATAGAATTTATACGTAACGGATGAATACTACTCTCTCCAAAAATGAACCAGAAACAAATTTAACTTTTCATTATCAAGCATTGAAAACATTTAGACTTTGGAATAAAACAAGAAATAGCTATCTTAGAATGAAAAATCGCTGCCATTTAGTGTACCACGGTCTGCTCACTTTGCCGTTAGGAGAACTCACATCGGAAATACATACGCGCTGTGCTACTTCCCAGGTCGAACAATCCGGCGCGGAAACGGCCGGTTCCATGGTATTCCGGAGATTTCATGGAAGCAGTATTCCCGACGAGCGGATCCGGTGACCGGATTTATCGGGTTTGGGCCGGAACCGACAGAAACATGTCAAAACCCGTAGCCGGAAATGGTTACCGCTTTTCTCCATCGGATTCCTGGCATTTTCCGGGCGGGTTCCCCTCAGAAATGGCGAGTTTCCTCAGGGATTTTGTCGGAAATTCATGGCATCCTGCTTCAGGAATCATCGTTCTGGGTTTCGATTCACTTCTGCCATATCTCCAATATAGTCGAGCAGTCTACACTCATGTTATCTTGTCAATCACACACTCTCAGAAAGAAATCCCGAACCATGATACCTCTCTCACCAAATACTGTTCTGTCACACCTTCGTAGGTAAAGCATTTACTTTCAGCAATCCGCATATATTTTTCACGCAATAAGAAACATTACCATTCAGCTCATCCCCATTTCTAAAAAAATGCAATTTCTATTCCTACACTACTTCTCACCACCACGCACATCACACACCAAATGATATCGACTAAGTTTTCAATCCAAAAACATTCCGTCTACGAAAAGAGTCACCAAAACCAGTATGACTTGTTCTTCGATTCCCTTCACCGCAAAATCTACACCGTGTTGACGTTCTAAGGGTTAGATAAAACACAAATTCAAAACTTTTTTGCCCACAGCATCAATCTTACTGTATTCCTTCCCAACACCTCCGCAATGTTTTCTGCTCCTTCCTCACCGATTTCGTTCGATCTGAGATCTAATGTAGTCAGTGCCTGTAGGTATGCGATAAACTCAGTGCTTCGTTTTTTTGCGAAACGAGTTCAATATTACCGTATTCGTTCGCAAAGCATCCGCAATGTGTTGTGCTCCTTCATCACCGATTCTGTTGCTCGAAAGGTGTAGTGTGGTGAGTACCTGTAGGCATGCGATAAACTGGGTGCTTCGTTTTTTTGCGAAATGAGTTCAATATTACCGTGTTCGTTCGCAAAGCATCCGCAATGCGTTGTGCTCCTTCATTACCGATTTCGTTCCAACTGAGATCTAGTGCGGTGAGCGCCTGTAGGTATACAATAAACTGAGCGCTTCGTTTCTTTGTGAAATGAGGTCAATATTACCGTATTCGTTCGCAAAGCATCCGCAATGTGTTGTGCTCCTTCATCACCGATTCTGTTGCCGCGAAGGTGTAGCGTGGTGAGTGCCTGCAGGCATGCGATAAACTGGGTGCTTCGTTTTTTTGCGAAATGAGTTCAATATTACCGTGTTCGTTCGCAAAGCATCCGCAATGCGTTGTGCTCCTTCATCACCGATTTCGTTCCAACTGAGTTCTAGTGCGGTGAGCGCCTGTAGGTATACAATAAACTGAGCGCTTTGTTTCTTTGTGAAATGAGGACAATATTACCGTGTTCGTTCGCAAAGCATCCGCAATGTGTTGTGCTCCTTCAGCACCGATTCTGTTGCTCGAAAGGTGTAGTGTGGTGAGTGCCTGTAGGCATGCAATAAACTGGGTGCTTCATTTTTTTGCTAAATGAGTTCAATATTACCGTATTCGTTCGCAAAGCATCCACAATGTGTTGTGCTCCTTCAGCACCGATTATGTTATCGTCGAGATTTAGTGCGGTGAGCGCCTGTAGGTATACGATAAGCTGAGTGCTTCGCTTCTTTCTGAAATGAGGTCAATATTACCGTGTTCGTTCGCAAAGCATCCGCAATGCGTAGTGCTCCATCAACGCCGATTCTGTTGCCGCCGAGGTGTAGTGTGGTGAGCGCCTGTATAGGTGTGAGATAGGCTGAGTGCTTCGTTTCCTTGTGAAATGAGTTCAATATTACCGTGTTCGTTCGCAAAGCATCCACAATGTGTTGTGCTCCTTCATCACCCATTCTGTTGTCGTCGAGCTTTAGCGTGTTGAGCGCCTGTAAGTATACGATAAAGTGAGTGCTTCGCTTCTTTCTGAAAAGAGGCCAATATTACCCGGTTCGTTCGCAAAGCATCCGCAATGCGTTGTGCTCCATTAACACCGATTCCATTATGCTCAAGGTCTAGTGTGGTGAGTAGCTGTAGGTGTGAGATAGGCGGAATGCTTCGTTTTTTTTGTGAAATTATATGAATATTACCGTGTTCGCCCGCAAGGCATGCGCAATGGTTTGTGCTCCTTCATCACCGATTCCTCTATGCGCGAGGTTTAGTGTGGTGATCGTCTGCATGAAGGTAATATAAAATAAAATTTGGGAGTGGCGAAGAGAATCTATGATGGCACTGCGGGTCGGATATATGTTAGATGAAATGGTTATATCTGGGGAGGATTATTCAGGAAGAGTTGGGTCTATATGTCAGTTTTTGGTGTGGTTGATCATGCTAGTTGTTGCTTCTGAAATACTGTGTTCAAAGAAGAGGTGCGGTATAAGGAATCCTGGCTGGAGATTAGTGCGAACTGGCTAAATGGAAAGAGCAGGGCAGAATTATCAGCAAGTAAATGTTGTATTGAGATACCTTTTTTCAAGCGGCGCTAGAATGAATTCCTTGTCCTACTCTTGTAAATGTAGGAGTTGGATTCAGTGTACCGCTGCTGCGAATGCATATTGGCATAGGTGTAGTAATTGTGCAGTTCACCCTGCTTCATTCGATGTGTTTCGTCAAAAACTATCGTTGATGCAGTTGTTTGTATCGAGTAGCTCAACGTAAGGACGACAATGCATAACTATGCATATTATTCATTCGTCGTCGCGTATCGGTCGAATGGATGCTCGATATACATAGGAGAAAGAGGAGAGAGTGGAGGAATGCTTGATTTCATATGACTTCGTTCGGTGGCTGCCTCATTCGATCAAATTGTCTTGGGGTTACAGAATTTATGACATCAAATATCATTAAACTTATGTGTAGCATAGCCGAAAAGACTGTTAAAATGACAAGTAGAACTTACTCGATAGCGTTCATATGTACTGAGTATTTTATTGAATCGTCGACAAATATTTTGCATTGAACAAAATAGTGTCAGCTCATTTTGATGATCCATAATTCGATAAACAAGTTCGACAGGTAATGTGGAAAATGTGTGCATATTGTATTTCAATCGTTCAGTAGACCGTACCGTAGAGATTGGAAGCGACGAAAAATGTGTGATTTTTGTTCGTTTTATGAGTAGCAATTCATGGTGGTGATATGGTTATATGTGTTTTTGACGAAAACAAATATTGTGTAATCATTTCAACAATTACGAAATGTTGGCGTGCGCAGATAGATGGCATTATAGTACGCATCCTCAATGAATTCTGTTTTGACATTTACAATGGTAAATTTAAAAATTGAAAACAGGACATCCTGTATGGCTTTGGCTCTTTTGGAAGTCGATTCAATTTTCATCAAAAGGAATTAACACCTCTAAATTAATATTTTTAACCAAAAAATATAACGGAATATAAAAAACTACAGCTTACATTACAGATCTATTTTGATTATGTAGCTTTTGTTTTCGAGAATACTAAATGCTGCCCAGTTAGTTTTCACTGATTGTTTTGCATCATTTGACGTTTTTAGTTATAAAAAAAGATGATTGTAATAAGTTCCATGATATAGATTGCTGATAGAGCTTCATGCAGCATCCCTCAGTGCGTTTGTTTCATTTTTTCAAATCTTATTCAATGATAGATATAACAAAAACGAAAAATGACCGTTTCTCAACCTGAAAAAAACCAGTCACATGATCTTTTATTCCTTTTTAAAGCCAAAAACCATAAAATTGAGCTACGGTTTACCGCAGAGGTGACGTTAACTAGAACATTCACCATCTTTCACATAAATAGAATGACAGCTTCTTCATCGAGCTGATCTAACAATTTTTTGCGAATTCATTTGGATGAATTAATTACCCCATGGTATTTTAATAAATAAGAAAACGTGGAAACGTTCGAAAAACCAAACGCTGTCGATTCTTGTAGGAAACAAGGCGTTCAACTTATTGAAAAAGTTAAGCCATTTTTCGATATCCCCAAACAGATGGTGTTGAAGATAATTAGCAAACCTACAAGAATGCTGTAATATCTTGCTTTGAAACAGTCATAGTCCTTTTAACAGATAACTGCCGATTAATTTCTTACAAGGAGTGGCTGCCTAATTCGACTTATAAGATAAGTGGCCAATCCTAACACACTACAATCTCTATCTAGACAGGCATAGAAATAGATCTAGTTTCACTTATACATATACCCTCACACTCAAATATTTTAATACGAACTAGTTGGGATCAAAATATTTCAATTGTTCCGGGTGAAATCAGAATTTTAATCTGTGCTAGTTCGATTTAATAATTGAACTGGATTTTGATCTTTACTACGACATAATATATAGGTTCAATACAGGGTTAGGTGCGAGAAAAAAGCAAACTAAGACGATATTACCATAGTGTCATCACAACTATAGAATATATTGATGGTCTCGCTATATATCCCTTTCTGAAAGAAAGAAAATGGCAGAAATCATAATTTATCAATTGATTAATTTAAAACACGGAGAGACTTGCAGAAGTATTTTCACATTACATTAGAAAGTTTTCAAGGAAGTAGGTTGTAACTACCATAGCAAAATACAGCATTAGAAAATTGGGAATCTGCCTACTTGTGTTGAAGAAATATATATATATCAACGAACAGTAAAACATGATAATATTTACTATTGACGGATTATGCTCATTGCATTAACTAATAGTTTAACTAAAAAAGTATAAATGTTTTCCATGGAGAAAAAACGAAAGTTTATGAATAAAGAAATTCAGTGGATGATATCTACGAAAATACTCTTTAAAAAAAGTGATTCAATCCGATGGATTTGCAAAATTTATTTAAGGTCTTGGCTTGTACGCTTAAAGCCTTATATAAAACACCTTATTTGCAATTGAAATAATCTCTTCTGAATGTCCTCCAATTAGCCAATACATCCTCTCAACTTCTTAAGCGATAAATTCTCACTATCCCCCATTTTTCATAAACTAGCGTTAACATGCCAAATGAAAAGATTCACATCTTTCCAAGTACATATAAATAATTAAAATTTCTGTATGATTATTCACCAAGAGACTGCATGAAGACGCAAATCATACATATAAATTTTCTCAGCGTACGTCAATGAAGAAGTATGACTACGATGATGTCTGTCCACGATCTTTACTAAAAAATTTGACTTGTTTGATCGTCAACATGCAATACGTCATGAGACTTCATGAACTCACATTTTCTTCCATGTCTTCCACGAAATCGTTGACATTATACGGGATTGATCTTGTCCTAACCAGAAGACATAGCTACTTAGAGGAGAAATGCGTGAGTAAGAAGCACAAATTGATAGAAAATTCTTTTTTTTGTATAGGAAGCGAATATCATGAAAAACGCAGGAATAAAAGAAAAGATTCAATGACGAAAGAAAATGTTTAAATTATTTCCGGAATTTTGAATCCGTAATGAACTCATAGATATTACACGTACCTTAAAAAAGGATTATGATGAATATCTAACTAGATTTCTCTTAGACGCACTTATGAAATTTAATTGAAAGAAATCTATTATATTGAACAAAAAAGTCGCTCAAGTATTTACTTTCTTTGATTTTCAGACTCGTATTCAGTACTTTCAAAACAAGAACAAAGTCGTAGTCAATTGGAATAATAAGCACCCACATTCTCAACGTGTGATATACTCTTTTATCTTTGCTAGTGAGCAACCACGATCTCTACCGGAAAAATCGTTACATCTTAATTGTCATTAGACACAATATATAATTCTGTCAATGACACATGTGTTCTTGACATCCCCGCAAGTTTTCTTAACTAGAAGGAAGACATCACACGTCAAATAACTATATGTTCCCGACGACGTTGATTTAAAAAAAATGAATCTAATGAAAAGGCATTGAAGTCAACGGTGACGACATACCTTGAATGTCCTGTTGATTTACTAGATACACCTTAATTTCTTTCTTTCTCAAGGTTACATCGACAGTTCATGTTTTTGCGAAATTATATAGACCATTCATGCGAGTTACTAATTCTATGTTAGTTAAATATTCCCTACACCGGTACATCATATGACAATTCAATCAGCATTTGGTAGACAATATATTGACATGATATTCGGGTACTACTTATATCTTCAATCAAAGTGAAACATCAAGCGAAAATATATGATCTCTCATCCGACAACCGCGTGACATACATGACTTTCCATCCACTTTGAATTCACATGACGATCTTCACTGATATTGAACTGATGTTGTTGTTGCAGACGAAAGAAATAATAAGGTAACTGAACGGCAGAATTCTTTCATGTTCTATGCATGAGTTCTTTGAAAAATGATCTGCAATGGTGACATCATTGTGTTTCACGGTCATTTGGATAAACTAAGTGGAAGGATTTTTCTCATTAGAAGTACTTTTTTTTATTTTCAAGGACAAGAAAACAAAAAAGCAAAATTTGTGAAAATGATTATCTCAAGACAAATAAAGCAGAAGAAAACCAAATCGAATGTTCATGTCTGTTTAAAAGAGAAACCGATTCTTTTCTAAAGTTTATGTAAACTAATTCCATCGGCAGTTGATACAGCTAGTGTATTTGCACCGAACATTGCAGCACATGAAGGCGATGGATTGTAATCACAAGTTAATTTCAATTTTCCTTCATTTGATATATGAAATAAATTGGAAGTGTTCCAGTCTACCACGAGCCATTCATCATTGTTAAGTAAACAACAACGAATAGCTCGAGAATCATAATCTATATCAAGATTCAATGCCCAAAGTCGGTCAAATGTATTCGCTGAACGTAATTCAATTGATTTTGCTTTTGTTAACCGATTGTAAATCATCACGGCGAATTTTTCTTTATTATAAATCATATTGTTGATTGTTTCCTCTTGTTTACATGTTTGTGGGGGTTGCCAACGTTTGGTCAATTGAATCGATGGCCATAATGTAAACTGGTAAATATTTGATCCCCAATCTTTGGTTGTTAAATACAAACTTGTATCTGAACATGTGCATGACCACCAAGCCAATTTTGGAACTTTTTGAATACGAACTACTGACATTGTACTTTCGTCGATAAGAAATAAATAAGAACGAGTTAAAACAAGAAAACGTGACAATGTTGATGACCAACAAATGTCCATAATCCATCCTTGTGTCCAAGATTTTTCTTTAATAATATTTAATTCTTTATCTAATAGACATAAATTTGAATCGTGATGAACGAGCAAATAACGTTCGTTGGTACAGAGAATTTTCGAGCAATCATCGAGATAATTCATCGTTTTCGTCGCAGGAGGAATAATGGAACCGTTATAAAGTTCATTGGTTTCATGAATTTGAATAGAATTCTCGTTGATTTCAATTAGACGAGTATTCAATTGAAGATATTTGTCCTTTGTTTCATCAATTTCCTGTTCAAGTTGACGAGCAATGTTTGTTATGTAGTCCACGTCTTTTTGTACAGCATCTTGTTTATGAATAAGTGCGGCGATGTTTGACCGAATACGATTAGCTTCTTTGCGTTGTTTATCAACAATACTCGCCACATGTCGATCGAATTCTCGACATTTTTGTTCATAATATCGGTCGATTAAATTATGACAATCGCTTTTCCATTTAACCAATTTTTCATGCGATTCACTCATCAAATTTTCAATATTTGATGTTGTTAAACGGTCGTTCAACGAATTGATTCTATCGGCTAAATCATTTAATGAGTTGTCATATCGTTCATCGTATTGTTCGTCAGTTAAATCGAATGTTTCAGCGCGTTGATATGTTGACATCATTGTACACGATTGAAGCATTAATCTAATACAAAAATGAGAAAACACACGTAAATGCAATGTATCTCCTGCTGACGTTAACTGTTAACAATAAGGAAAAAGAAAGAAAGAAATGACAAAGATAAAAATGTTGTTTAGTTTTTCTTCTGGAAGGATAATTAGAATGCGCAGGCAGAGAAGAAAGTCTTTTCTCATTTTTTTTTCTTCTCTTCCCGCTTCTCATTTTTCTCTTCTTCGACTTTAAGCTGAACTTATTAGCTAGACAGAAGCTAACAACAGATGTCTTTTACTACGTCATCATCTCAAATATGTTCGTTCAAGAATTTAAAGCACATCCCCTGGGAATTTCAATTATGTAGTGCAGAAATAAAACACTTTCTCAGTAATTAGCATCTTCTCAGATGAAATTCAAAAATATGCAATTACGTTTGACCAGTTTTATGTGACGAAGCCAATCGTTCTAAATGTTATTTGATAAACTTTTTCTCCGAAACGATGTATAGATACGATTATTTGCTAAAAATGTTCCGATAAACAACATCGTATGTTGTCGATATTACGCTTTGACTTAGAAACTTGATTTTCTCTTCGTCATGTTCATAGTTGTGTGGATTAATTCTAAATTCAATTACTTAAATAAGTTTCTTCATTAAACTAAATCCGACTTGAATGTGTTATCCTTAAGCATATTGTTAAGTTTCTATTTTTAAGTGAAATTCTGTTTTACATTCAATTTTCTGATTAACGAGGTCTGTGCATTAAGGCAGTATTATAAAGATTAGCCCAAAGTTCTAATATGATGTTTGTGTCTGACAGCACCTACTGTTTCGAATCTGGAAATTTCTAAATATATTTCATGACTGTTAGTGAAATATTTCTTAAAAAAGAAGTCCTTTCTTCTGCACATACCAAGTTAAATTGATTATTAACTTGTTTATTTAAATCTAAATTTAGTTGATGACTGTATGATCAATTGTCAAGAACATGCGTAATAAGCATATTCATTCTCATTTCTTTCTTATTAAATTGAGACATATTTGTGAATATGACTATGCAATATGCTAATGGAAGAGACTCGAGAAACATCTCATGTCATTTTTTGTCTCTAGATCTGTTCCGCCTTCACATTCATTACACGATAATTATAATATTAAAAGACATTAAAACCACCATTATTAACGCAGTCATTTTGAATAATAGTTTGTTTATGGAAAAAACGGCAAGAAATAATTTTCTACGGAATGATGGAATTCCTGATTAACAGAAATACATTTTATAAATAAGTACACAGTGAACATATTCAGCACATTCCTATTACTAACGTGCACTTGATCACCTTCTCGTTAAAAGAAAAAATATTTTCCCTGACAAATAGTAACATATGACAAATGAAGAAATAGTATTATTATCGTTATAGCCATGTATATTATTTAAGTAGTGCTAGACGTAGAAGATGAAGGCAATATAGATTTTAATCTAGAGATTCTTCGTATCAAATCTTCATTCTTAGTTTATTATCAAGCTCAATTAATCGGTTGTTGACTAGAAATTTCATAATGTTGAATCGTGTGAATGTTCCCCGAAATTGTCTTGTTTAGTGTCAGTCGCTGGCGTTTTGTATACCAACGTAAGTCTAAAGGTTAATCAGTTCACTGAAGGCGTTATACTATTTTCTGAACCCAAACGAAAGACCCGCTCGAAGTAATTCGTCTTTTTTGAGAATGAACTCCGTGCATAAAGTAGACTTCAGTGAGATATGTAAAATTCCAAAAGGATAAGAACCGATAGACCTTAGATGCAGAATTATGAGCATTTTGCTGGATTTTGTACTCAAGCGTGATATGTACCAAGAAATCGAATTGATGATATTCCGATCTGATATTTTGCCGACAGAGTGGTTCGTCTATGGTACTTATGTACTGAAAATTTGAGATGACAATAGCGTTCAGTTCTCGAGATATCTCAGTAAAAAAATCGTTCATGTCACATGCAAATTCTTCATAAGTTTTTGTCTTTCGATATTGAGATATCTCGAGAACTGAACGCTATTTTCATCTCAAATTTTCAGTACATAAGTACCATAGACGAACCACTCTGTCGGCAAAATATCAGGTCGGATTATCATCAATTCGATTTCTTGGTACATATCACGCTTGAGTACAAAATCCAGCAAAATGCCCATAATTCTGCGCCTAAGGTCTATCGGTTCTTATCCTTTTGGGATTTTACATATCTCACTGAGGTCTACTTTATGCATGGCGTTCATTCCCAAAAAAGATGAAGTACTTCGAGCGGGTCTTTCGTAAGACGTTCATGTTGAGTATATTATGGAAGAGGTTAAAAGAAAGCTTAACGGATCACTACACATTACATTATATTATCAAACTGTGTGCCCCAGCGCTTGTGTGTGTATTTGAATAACACGACACCCATATATAGAGTACAATGACGTAGTCAGGAAAGAATTACAGAGGAGGCAATGCATCCCGCGCTCTATATCTCCAGCAGCTAGGCAGAATGGTGTAGGTATAGTATCAATAATAGCATATTTAACTGTCGGTCATTTTTTAAGGCTGTTCCGAATAATTATATAAGAAGATTTTGAATGAACATTGACAATAGTTCATGTATCCATAAATTATGATGTGCATTCATATTCATGCCGATCAGTGCTACCTACCTACATTTCTAATTGCGAGGCAATTATTAAGAAAAAAGTAACATAAATTATTCCATTCTAATTGATTCATTTGTTTAACAAATATTGGCATAAATATATGCATATGACGAAATGTTTGAGATTCGTAGACGTTATTTCATCCTTTATTTCAACAAAATATAAGATATCACACAAGATATAGCTTTTCATCCATCTATGTACAATTATTCGTTTCGATATAAAAGAAGAAAACAATAACTAAATGGTTAAAATTGATTGTCATCACTTTCCATGGGTGACAAATTATGAATATTAGGTTGAAATTGTTTGTTTGAATCGTATTTATCATTAATAAAAAGACTGATTTCACCATAAGCTTCTTTTTGGTGTGCCTTCAATCGTCCGTCACCACAAAGTACTAAAATCAGCAATAAACGAGCTAACTGAATCAATATCGAAACACAAATGTACGCATTTACCAAGTAAAACACTGAAAAGGCGTGATGCTTGAATACGAGTTGCATCTGATTGTTTGAGAAACTCGCTAAATGCTCCACCACCTGGTTTACTCGCCGAACTACAACAGAAATGAATCATTTTTTGGGAAAAGCATATTTTATGTTCATTACTTGAGAAGATCATCGATCGCTTTTTGCTTCTGTTTATCCTGCCAAGTTGGTAATGGTTCAATTGGTGCCGGAACGGTACTTTGAGTTCGTCGTTTTGATTGTAATGGTGAAAGTGGCTGTTGAATATCAGGTAATGGTTCGAATGGTTGCGGCAGATTGATCGGAAGATCATCAAAACCACTTGGAAATGTCGGAAGTATACCTCCATCACTGGTTGTTGGCGGTAATTGAGATGCACGCTTTTAGAGAAAATCAAATTAATTATTCAGTATATCAAATGAACTAACGTCTTGCAATGTTGGGACAATTGATGAAGGTGATCGAGTGCCCGCTTTCGGTAAAAGACCACCTGAGAGAAAATAAAAGAAAGAATGAATTGAGAGTCAATAAGAGGAACAAAGTTTGGAATTACTTGATTGACCGCGTCGAATTGCTAATTCTTGACCTGTACGACGTATTTGAGCAAGATTACCAGATTCATCTAGACATTTCATATACGATGTAACCGAGACTATAAACTTGTCAAAGATATTCTTTACCTGGATCAGTAAATACTTTGGCAATATTTGTAATATCATCGATAAGAGCATCAAGATCGACTGTTGATAACGCCGTTTTAGCTTTATCCAATAATTTGTTCATTCGTTTGGTTCCGTTCTTTAATGAATGAAAGAAGTTTTATTATTTCAGAAGATATAAAACTTACTCGACCAATTAATGTAGACCATGGTTTATATTGTTGTTTATTCTTTTCAAATATTTCTTGTTCATCTTCCTCATATTCTCTCAATGCATCATAATTGAAATCAACAATATTTCGATACAGTGCTGCATCTTTTCGTTTTTTGTTCAACGCATTTGGTGCATTGCGTTTCTTTTTCGAAACACGAAAATATTCCTTTTTATTTTCAGTTGAAATCATATTCATATCAGGAACTTGAGCATCGATACCTAAACCGATAGGCGCATCATGTGGTAATTGCTAAAACGATAAATGAATACAAGTAAAAAGAGAATAAGACAAAAGTAAGTGTTACTTGATCTGGTAATGGAGGTAGTGTATCCATTTGTACAGGCATTTCATCTGCACCAATCATTGTTGGCTCTTGGACAGTAATCAATGGAACATTACCACTTAGAATACAATCGGCGCCGAGTAGAATAGTTTTTGTTGGCGTTGAACTAGATCATAGAAACATCAAGAGAGTTACAAAAAATATGTTCACGAAAAGCTTCGAACCTATAAATTGGATATGTATCAATTGTACTGGTGACGAAAGCCAATGCATCAGTTGAGAACTGATCACGTGTAATAGCTGTGGTACGATCTGATGGAACAGGTGTGACTACCGTTGTATCCATTGGTAAGATTGGCAATGGTGGTGGTAAATCAGATGCTGCTGAACGTTGTGGTCGATGTTCATCAATCGTTCGTTCTTCACTGGGACGAATATACCGATCACTCGCACCCATATGTCGATCAGCTCGGGGTGCTAAAAGTTTCAAATGGAAATACGAAATAGGTAAAAGAATTGAAAGAAAAGCACCTCGAAGTAATTCTTTGCTTCTTTCTTCCGATGCAGCGCGAAAGAACGTTCGATCTTCACGTTCATCGACATCCATTACTGTTGTAGTCGGTGTTGGTTGTTGTGAAGCAGGTAATGGTTCACCGAAGCGATCATCGACGATATCGAATGTCGGCATTGGTTCCTAAAAAAAAGAACGCAAATCAATCAAATACGTTCTTTTGTGTGTCTAATACTTACTTCAATATCAGGCAACAAGGTGATACGTTTTCCATGAGTTGGTTTGGATACTTCCCATGGAAGCGGTGGTAAGTTGTCCTTTGAAAGTGAATAAGAAGACACGAAATTCTACTTCAGTAAACAGCGGATCAACAAACCGGTGTTTGAATACGTTCTGGCGGTGTTGATTGCCGTGGTAATTCAATTGAGAAATCTCGTTCCAATAGCATTCGTTCGTCAGGTAAGAGATTCTCATCGATATCAATTTGCCATTGTGTAGTTGTTAACACTGTTTCTTTTTTTCGAGTTAATTTTGTTTTTGTCGGATCATCGAATTCAAAAAACCTATTCAAAACTATCAGAAACTTATGAACAAATAGTCGCTTACCGATGTACTACTGCATCCTTATATAATTTTTCCACATCCTCTAGAGAAGGAAAACACAGAAATTCATAAATGAAGTACAGATTGACACTTACGATACCACAGAATAACGCTTTTTGAGTAAACATATGTCAGGCCAAGCAAGAGATGACTATCAAGAACCAATGCTAATGGTGAACGACGACGAGTTGTCGAATTGACATATTGAAGAACATCTTTACTGCATGACAAGCAAGAAAGAGGTATTTTGAAAAAGAAGAAATCGATCGCATGTGGGATCTTACTAGATAGTTTTGAAACTTGCTGAATTAATCAAAGTTTTTGTTACTAAACGTCGTTGACCTGCACATTTCCTACAGCGAAAATAAACAATTGTAAAAACAATATGGTTAATTGACTTTACCAAAGAATTTGCAGTGAAGGACTGTGAGCAAAAACATTTTGTGTTTTTCGTGTTGAAGTCATCTGACGAACGTTGACTTGATCTTACTTACTGATTGTTAACAATGATCACAACATCCTTTCCTTTTCGAAAAACATCAATGGACATGTTTGTCCGTCAGTGGTTGCGAGAGAAGAAAAAGAAAAGAAGATATACGCTGGACTGAGTCACCTTCAGTAAAACGTATCGCGTAGAAAAGAAACATATTTGTGGTTTCTTGCTAAGCTACTGTTTCCGATCGTTTCAAAGAATATATTCAAGACATGTAGGTTAATCTTTGCATTTTTTCTTCTTCTAACAAATAACAAAAGAAAAAATAGATACAACGATGATTCATAATCGATGAATATTAAACGAATGTTTCGTTGAAATAATCAATTGATTTGGTTTGAAACAATGAATATAACAAATCTCATCTTCATATTTAGAAACGTTCTTCGTTTTCCCGTCACTCGTCAAATGATACAACGATGATGAACCCCAATCAGCTATTAACCATGCATTATGATTGTAGATACAACATTGAATCTTTCGTTCACTGTAATCTGTTTGCAGCCGATAGATCCATATCCGATCGAATGAGATCGTCGAACGAACTTCGATGAAGAATTCTTGTCTCGTTTCATCATTGATCGCCAATGCCAATCGATCATGTTGATATTCTAAACTATCGATTCGTTGTTTCTGATCTTTAGTGTCAGTTGTTTGATGAACTTGAAAAAGTGTTATCGAAGGTTCGAGATTAAATTCTTCAACTGTTGAATTCCATAAATCTCGCGATAAATATAAAGATGTTTGAGAACATGTACACGATTGCCATGATCTTCCTTCGATAGTTTCGATTCGTTGGATCGATAAATTCGTTCCATCGATTTGATACACATGATCCCATGTGAGAATAAAAAAACAATTCAAGATTTTTGACCAACACATGTCACGTATTCGGTCGTGAGGCCAATTTTGTCGACAGATTTCCGAAAGATTTTCATCGATTAAATACAAACTCGATCGATGTTGAATTAGAAAATGTTGATTGTTGGCTGCAATGGCATCAGAACTTATCGGATAACGTTGGATGTTTGCATACGGATGTGCAAATGTGAATAGATTAGGTCGATAGAAGTTGAATAGATCGATACTGATCATATAATTTGGAATTGTTAACGGATAAATATCGACATGAATGGAAACGGAAACTTGGTTGATCTCTCGTTGGATGATTCGAAGTTTTTCTTCGAGTAAGTTTATGTTATGAGTATTCGACTGTTGGATGTAAATCATTTTCGCGATTTTAATTCGTAGATCTTGAATTTCTTTTTCGTGTTGATTTAGTAAGCGGCGAGCCGATGAAATGATTTCATTTCGTTTATTTTCGTAATATTCATCAATTATTTTATGTGCATTCACTTTCCACTGGTCAAGTTTTGTAATAATATCCGTAGTTATTGTATTCACACTTAAGTTTTCAAATTCTTCAGCAAGTCGGTCTATTCGTCCGGTTAAATCATTTAGTTTTGGACGAAGTAGATTGTCATGTATAATAAAATGTTCTCGACAAACATTTCGTTTACAGCAGATACAAGTTGCCAGTGATGCTCCGCCACACGAAGATATTTCACACATTTGTGATGTGATCAAGATTCAACTGGTTGATATTCGTATGTCTCCAGGTTTCGTTTTATACAGGTAAGAAGAGATGACTCATCACTGGGTAAATATCATGAATGTTTGATTTGAGAAATCGGTAGAAACATGTAATACAAACGGAAATCATGACTGCAAGAGAGCGTCGAAAATTTTTGATTTCAATGTGATTTTGTATATTCTCAGGTAAGAAATCATTGGATCGATTTGTCAGTTGAAGTTTTATTTAAGTTAAAAACAAAATCATATGTACAGGAGAAATCTATTCAATAGTTTCAACCACACGTAGAAATTCTTCAGGAATGGGCTTGGAACACGAACGTTCATTGAAAGATTTCGAGCCAAGAGAATGTCGAATAGCTGCACTCGTTGTTTTACCTAGACTGATTAACTAAAAACTAACATGAAAATGGATAATTGAAAGTATAGAATGTCTTACGACAGATTTATTATCACATAGATCAAAACCAATACGTTGACACGATTTGTACACACTTTCAAAGCCACTGGGACTGAAAAAACCAAATACATCTGGCCTCTAAATGATTTGTTCGCAATCAAAATCAAATAAGTGGAAAGAATATTCATCATACACCATGATTTGTTAGATATTCTTGTAACTCTTTATCAAGACTATCGGATGGAATGGTTTCATAAACTGTGATTTCTTCGAAATGAATACCTGTAAAAAAACAGATCGTCAGAAAAAAAAAGTATAAATCTTAAGTGTACGAATAACCTGGCGTATTAGACAATCGTTTTGGTAGAACGTCTAATCGTGCTTGTGCACATGGAAACAATAACTTTGCGGTTTCTTCTCTATTTTGTACATCTGATCATAAATAGGTCATTGACGAGATATTTGATCAAATGATTTGTATTACCTTTGATGATGAATTCAGCTAGCGATTCACCTCCACCTGATTCTGCACCGAGAATTTCAACCGTTGAACCGAATAAGTCCTTGACTAAAGACATAACTACAAGAATGTTGTGAAAAAGACCTGTTTACCTAATGAGGCAGTGGCTGGTCCTTCAACATAGATTCGTTGGAATCGTTTTCGATTATGATCTAACATAAACTGGAAGAATTGTGGAAAATTATTTTATTTTATCAACCTGTTAAGACTTGTTGAACGGCTTCAACAGCCCGTTTACTGGTAAAAATAAGGCTGTGGTAATCACCAGACTATATGAATATGAATTTCATACGTGACAGGAGAAAGCAGAATTACACACCTGAAGTTTTGTTGAAAGTAAATCTTGATTAATAAAATGAAATTGAATTGGTGATAAGGTTTTAACTGCACAACCATGTTCAGTTAGTAACTAAAATAACGAACAAAATCGAAAGAAATTCCAATTGATTGGATTGTACTTTTTCATAAATATCTTCGTTTACGGCATCGTCACTTTTTGATCGGAATAATACAATTGTCTTGACAGGCATTTTCACAAATATCTAAAACACATTTCTCATCATCATCTTCCATACAAAACATATGAGCCAATACCATATATTGATCATCCAGCTTCGCAATATCTGTCAAATAGTGACCTCTGACGAACAACCTTAAATGTTTTGGTATCCAAATGCAGATATGAAACAATGAATTCTATTCACATAAATTCTTGTATACCTATATTTTATTGCAAGAAGTATTGACGCATAATAAGCAGTTAAATAAACGAATAAAAAAAACCGAACGAAGAAGTTAAATTCTAACATAAAGCAACTAAACCAATGTTTTTCTTTCAAAATAATACAAATTTTATTAATCATCTGAATCACTCGAATCAGATGAGTAGGATTCAGCCACAGTCGGTTTAACCGTTTTGTTTTTATTGCTACTTTTTGATGAATGTTCATGTATAGGACTTGCACTACGACCANCATTATGATTGTAGATACAACATTGAATCTTTCGTTCACTGTAATCTGTTTGCAGCCGATAGATCCATATCCGATCGAATGAGATCGTCGAACGAACTTCGATGAAGAATTCTTGTCTCGTTTCATCATTGATCGCCAATGCCAATCGATCATGTTGATATTCTAAACTATCGATTCGTTGTTTCTGATCTTTAGTGTCAGTTGTTTGATGAACTTGAAAACGTGTTATCGAAGGTTCGAGATTAAATTCTTCGACTGTTGAATTCCATAAATCTCGCGATAAATATAAAGATGTTTGTGAACATGCACACGATTGCCATAATCTTCCTTCGATAGTTGTGATCCGTTGGATCGATAAATTCGTTTCATCGACTTGATACACATGATCCCATGTGAGAATAAAAAAACAATTCAAGATTTTTGACCAACACATGTCACGTATTCGGTCGTGAGGCCAATTTTGTCGACAGATTTCCGAGAGATTTTCATCGATTAAATACAAATTCGATCGATGTTGAATTAGAAAATGTTGATTGTTGGCTGCAATGGCATCGGAACTTATCGGATAACGTTGGATGTTTGCATACGGATGTGCAAATGTGAATAGATCGGGTCGATAGAAGTTGAACAGATCGATACTGATCATACAATTTGGAATTGTTAACGGATAAACATCGACATGAATGGAAACGGAAACTTGGTTGATCTCTCGTTGGATAATTCGAATTTTTTCTTCGAGTAAGTTTATGTTATGAGTACTTGCCTGTTGGATGTAAATCATTTTCGCGGTCTTAACTCGTAGATCTTGAATTTCTTTTTCGTGTTGATTTAGTAAGCGGCGAGCCGATGAAATGATTTCATTTCGTTTATTGTCGTGATATTCATCAATTATTTTATGCGCATTCACTTTCCACTGGTCAAGTTTTGTAACAATATCCGTAGTTATTGTATTCACATTTAAGTTTTCAAATTCTTCCGCAAGTCGGTCTATTCGTCCAGTTAAATCATTCAGTTTTGGACGAAGTAGATTGTCATGCATAATAAAATGTTCTCGGCAAACATTTCGTTTGCAGCAGATACAAGTTGCCAGTGATGCTCCGCCACACGAAGATATTTCACACATTTGTGAGGTGATCGAGATTCAACTGGTTGATATTCGTATGGCCCCCGGTTTCGTTTTATACAGGTAACAAGAGGTGACTCATCACTGAGTAAATATCATGGATGTTTGATTTGAGAAATCGGAAGAAACATGTAAGTCAAATGGAAATCATGACTGCGAAAGAGCGTCGGAAAATTTTCGATTGGAATATGATTTTGTATATCCTCAGGTAAGAAATCATTCGATCGATTTGTCAGCTGAAGTTTTATTTAAGTTAAAAACAAGATCATATGTACAGGAGAAATCTATTCAATAGTTTCAACCACACGTAGAAATTCTTCAGGAATGGGCTTTGAACACGAACGTTCATCGAAAGATTTCGATCCAAGAGAATGCCGAATAGCTGCACTCGTTGTTTTACCTAAACTGATTAACTGAAAACGAACATGAAGATTGATAATTGAAATTATAGAATGTCTTACCACAGATTTGTTATCACATAGATCAAAACCAATACGTTGACACGATTTGTGCACACTTTCAAAACCACTGGGGCTGAAGAAACCAAACACATCTGGCCTCTAAATAGTTGGTTCGCAATCAAAACCAAATAAGTGGAAAGAATATTCATCATACACCATGATTTGTTAGATATTCTTGTAACTCTCTGTCAAGACTATCGGATGGAATCGTTTCATAAACTGTGATTTCGTCGAAATGAATTCCTGTAGAGCAGATCGTCAGAAAAAAAAGTATAAATCTAAAGTCTATGAATAACCTGGTGCATTAGACAATCGTTTTGGTAGAATATCTAGTCGTGCTTGTGCACATGGAAATAACAAATTTGCGGTTTCTTTCCTATTTTGTACATCTGATCATAAATGGGTCATTGACGAGAAATTTGGTCGAATGATTTGCATTACCTTTGATGATGAATTCAGCTAGCGATTCACCTCCGCCTGATTCTGCGCCGAGGATGTCAACCGTTGAACCGAACAAGTCCTTGACTAAATACATAACTACACGAATGTCGTGAAAAAGACCCGTTTACCTAATGAGGCAGTGGCTGGTCCTTCAACATAGATTCGTTGGAATCGTTTTCGATTATGATCTAACATAAACTGAAAGAATTGTGGAACATTATTTCATTTTATCTACCTGTCAAGACTTGTTGAACGGCTTCAACAGCCCGTTTACTAGTAAAAATAAGGCTGTGGTAATCACCAGACTATATGGATATGAATTTCATACGTGACAAGAGAAAGCAGAATTACACACCTGAAGTTTTGTCGAAAGTAAATCTTGATTAATAAAATGAAATTGAATTGGTGATAAGGTTTTAACTGCATAATCATGTTCAGTTAGCAGCTAAAATAACGAACGAAATCGAAAGAAATTCCAATTGATTGAATTGTACTTTTTCATAAATATCTTCGTTTATGGCATCGTCAGCTTTTGATCGAAATAATACAATTGTCTTGACTGGCATTTTCACAAATATCTAAAAAAAATTTCTCATTATCATTTTCCATACAAAAACATATGAGCCAATACCATACATCGATCATTCAGCTGCACAATATCTGTCGAATAGTGACCTCTGACGAACAGTCTCAAATATGTTTTGGTGTATACATCGTGATTATAGTTCAAATGCAGAGATATGAAACAATGAATTCTATTCACGCAAATTCTTGTATACCTATATTTTATTGCAAGAAATATTGACGCATAATAAGCATTTAATTAAATGAATAGAAAAACGAAAGAAGAAGTTAAATTCTAACATAAAGCAACTAAACCAATGTTTTTTGTTTCAAAATGATACAAATCTTATTAATCATCTGAATCACTCGAATCAGATGAGTAGGATTCAGCCACAGTCGGTTTAACCGTTTTGTTTTTATTGCTACTTTTTGATGAATGTTCATGTATAGGACTTGCACTACGACCACTAGCACGTGGTGCTTGAGATTTTCGATGTTCACTTCGTTCTAACGAACCACCATGGTATGCATTACTCTCGGCTGGTAGACTGTGACGTGAACCAAACTCCGCATCACGACGACGATCTGGTAAAGCACTCATTGAACCCGAGTGTTCGTTACTAAGTCCACCACCTGTTGTTCGTCTTGGATCATTCAATGCAGTTTCACTAACACTTCGTTGAGATGGATGAAGACGATGAAATGGTGCAGCTGTACGGAATTCCTATGAAGAGAAGATAAGAAAACTTTCCTTCCCTTGAAAGCATCTTACTTCGAGATCGCGCGCAACATCAATATTAATTAATTGTTGATGTGCATAGGTGAACATTTCCATCGCACGAGCGTGGAAAGATAAATTAATTAATGTAAAGTCTGTTAGATATTTCTTAATATCTGTTAGTTTCATCTGTTCAAATTTATCAATTTCATCTTGAACAACATTGTCAGCACGTGATGCTTCTGTTTGAGCATATTCAGCATTGACTTGCATTGCAACAATAGCATCACGATTTCCTGGATTACGATTGGTCGTTTGTTGTAATTTACGTTGTCGTTGAACACCTTTATCTCGAGCTGCAATTGCTTTTTGTACCGCTTGCTATTGAAATGAAACAGAACAGATAAGAAAACTTCAATGCTCATAGTCATACTCGTTTAAGTTTCATAATTTCGCCGTACTTAGCAAGTGGGTCGAGTATTTGACTTTCAATTCGCGTGATCTAAACAAGCAAACGCGTGCCATATTCGAACTCAAGTTGTTTTCTTACCAGTGTGTTGCGATAGTCTTCGACAGCGGAGAGATAACTCGCGTATTGCTGTAAACTTTGCCTTAAAGATGTGTTGATTCGCTCACGATCAGCAAATTCGAACATATTTTGCACTAATTCATCATTGCAATCGCGTAGCCGTGCTTCCTTACGACAAACTTTACCAAATTGCATACATATAGTACCCAAATACTTCTCCGCTTGATTTATTCGGTCCAAGACAAATTTCGTGTTACTTGCATCACTGAAAAACAGAATAAAACAATAAAATACAAAAATTAATGATAAGAAAAAAGAATAATTTACTTAGCAGGAAACATATTGATAATCCTTTTCGTTGAATTAGAAAATGATCTATAAGAGCTAAAAGAAGAAGATAATAAACCATGTGTCGATCTGTTCCGATTATGATCACTAAGCAACGATCACATGAATGTCGCTAGTTGTTTCTTAAATTAATTCATCGAATGAAATCATTTTTTTATATTAAACATTAATTGTTTTTCACATGAATTTTCTAATGAAAATTCTTCAATTGTAACCAAGACAACAGAGGTCGTTCTAATCGTATGAACGAGAAGAGTTTTCAATCAGAATATTATCGGTGATGTTAAAAACGTCTTTCTTCGATTTACCTGATCTAGTCCTCCTCGATATTATTCATTATTTATCGCCATTCGATGCTATTCAAGCATTCTACGATATCGATGATAGAACCGATCGAATTATCAATCTTCTCATCGAATCTCAATGTTTTAAGACAATTCATCAGCTCCGTTTACCTCTCTTCAATTTCGTTTGTCGAGATGTTGTTCCACGGTTAAATGTCAATCTATTTCACATGACTCTTTACAATCATCAACTAGAAATCGCTCGGAACAATGAAATTCTCTCTTATCTTCCCAATCTTTCCTCATTACATCTAATCAACATTATCGAAAACGAAGGTCTTCTTTCGTATTTTCTTCATCCACAATTAACAAATCTAACAATCGAGTTTCTTAGTGAACATCACACCGAAGCTCAAACATTCACCTGTGAACAATTCATTTTCGATAAAATATCTAAGAAACTACTCGATTGTCATTTAAAAAATCAATCTGGTATTCGACTTCAACGTTTGACTTTATTTCCCAATGATTCTCTTCAACGACTGACAATCCAGTTGAAAGAGTTGTCTGATTTGCATATCCTATTCGAGCAGATACCAAATATTCGAAGTTTAAATGTGGAATTATGTCAATGGACCATCGAGACAATCAAATATGATTATAAAAAATTGTCTCAAACTCTTCCTAATCTAACTGAATTTTCCCTTGAGACAAATCATACATTAACATTCAATCAATTACTTCTTCTCATTGAAAACTTCATTTATTTAGAAAAACTCTCAATTATCTATCGAAATTATGATGGATACGGCATCGATACAGTTCATTTTGAGTTCGTTTTATCTCGTCTTAGTCGTTTGATCGATTTAGATTTGTTTATTAAGTTTATTTATTTCAATCTTGATGCAAGGTGTACATTTGAACAGAATCATCAGTTTAAACAACGCTGGAGAATTCACACACATGCAAATACCACACAGAAATCGTATCTTGCGTATACAAAACCATTCCGGAAGTCAACGTATTCAACATCAACGGATATTCTTTTCCAAGACGAATCAAATGTGTTTCCAACAGTAACGAAATTATCGTTAAGAACGCATACGAAACAAGAAAATGTTTTATCACTCATTCGCTCGATAAATCATCAATTTCCATCGTTGACTCAACTTCATATTGTTGATCCATTTGGAATGGAACATAATCAGGAGGAATGCTCAATGAAATTATCAAACATTTCTTCATTCGATGCATCCGATCTAAAAATTCCGAATTTCTTCCAAAGCGTCTACCAATCTCTTCCAAACCTGAACCATTTACACGTCAATTGTGATATTCTAACTAAATGTAACCTAGATTCACTATTCGAAAACAATCAAATCAAATATTTACAATTACTCACAACAAACCTCGATGAAATCAGTCACTTTCTCTTCCATTTCTCAAATCTCAAACAATTAACTGTAAACATAAACAACTCCTCTCAACGAAAGTCTCACCGATCTCTTTTCCAATGGTTCGACATCTCTCCTCACTTGTATATTGTTCATGTCAGAGCACCGAAACTCTCCGATATATTCTACCTGCGTCTAATCGAAAACGAAGACAAATTTTACCTTCAACATTGCAATGAAATTTTAACTTTGTGGAAATAGAACGTTTCAATCGGTTTTTTTTCTATGAAAATAACTTCCCGGTGTACTTTATCAACGCTTCTACTAATTATACTGATAAACACTTGCGAACTGCCTTCGTCTCTCCGCTAATCATCATGTGTCAAAAAGACATTTTAGCCATAGTTTGTAATTAGTTTTTCTCGTCTTGTCCAACGTTGAAATTATTGGAAAAAAATGCTCTTGTTAGTAATTATCTCTCGTTTGGCTTTTGGTTGATTAACGGGAACAAACTCTAATTTGTCGTCTTAAACAAGCGAAGAATTTCCATCTTTTTTTTCTCTTTGATAAAAAAAAAGCTTATCGACGAACGCGTAAATTAACAAAAATGTGTGAAAGAATTCACCGGAAATGTCTCGTTGTGGTTTGTTCAAGAAGATTTTTTACAGTTCTGTTGAATTTATTTATATAAAGCGAAGAAAAAAACGAAACTACAGCGAGCAGAAATGCATGCAATCATTTGAATTGAACTTTCATACAATTGAAATGAAAAATAGAAGAAGAAGAAGAAGAGAAAAACAGGTCTTTATCACGATCAATGTTAGTGCTCAGAAAACACTCGTGCAAATTCAGTCATCTAAGTGAAAAAATAATGTCTATTCTTTTTTAGGTTTTCTTTTCACAACGCGATCAGATCAATAATAACCTAGAAACAAAAGATAGAATGCACATTTTGTAGGATTTACAGACAAAACATACGATAAATGGATGAAAATGTCACTGGACTAGTTGTTCGTGATCGAGAGACAGGACTTATTGATCGATTTCGACCGGAATATCCACGACGAATCGGACTTGATGGCCGTGAACGGCTCTATTCAATCAAAAGAAAGTCACTTTTTCAATCTCAATACCATCTTTTATACATACCAATGAAGCACCTCGTTTTGTACATGCTTCACCCTAGAAAATCAACAGGAAAGTTCTTTATTTCACTGAGTATATTCATTCATACCTTGACAACAACTCGTGCACCTTGCATCAATGCTGGCCAGACATGATGATCGACAAGTGGTGCTGAATATTCTGAATCGTAACTTCGTCGGTATCTAGATGAACATTTGAATTAGCTTTTTAACAGTTCATTTTTCTCAATCCTGAACTAACTTTGTTTCATCGAAGACTTCGGAACTCGTTGCAAAAGCAATATCAAGTGGATATGCAAGACAAGACATATGCCAAGCAACACGACACGCTTCCCGAATATAGACATTAATTAAAGAATATGTCACGCCAAGTGGTAAACTTATTCGAGGATTACGGTGTAGATTATCAATGACTTCCTAAAAGAAGAATTATGTTCAATTTCTATTGAAGAACGACTAACAAAAGACGTACTGAGACAATAGTTGATAATTCAAAATAATCCAAATTTCGATTAATGTAATCTTGAACAACGTCTTCAAGAGAATCTCCGGCGGAGAGTGTGATAGCCAGTTGAGAGCGAAGACGTAATTTCCATTCAGAAAAACGCCGTTTAGAAACAGAAAACGCTTCCTAAACAAATGCACAAAGAAAAACACATTAATTACACCATACAATAGCACAAGATATCTGATCTTACTTGAACAATATTGAAACATATGCGTTCGTTCATATCGTAATCGTCGGAGACCGTTCGAAGTGTATTCAAAGCATTCAAACGTTCGCGAGAGTACAACTCATTGAAACGTTGAACTAATGTATTTTCACGGACCGCTTCTAAGGTGTCACTTGCTGTTAAGGGAACCAATGCACTTGCTGGTGTAAATGCACGAACTGGTGATAACGAACGACGACGTACGTAACTACTACATTAGGGAAAAAAAGAAGATTTTTAATAGCGAAAGACGTGTTTTGTTACCTTAAGACGGGCGAACTTGAACGGGTGCGAGAACGTCGTTGTGCGAATTCAATATCGTCACGTATACGACGAATTTCTCGTTCGTAGTCATTGATGAATGTCGAACTTGGTTTACAACGTTCGAGTGAAAGTCGAAATTCAGCATCGCTCAAACTATTTGCAAATCATTTCCATGTTTCCTTTTTCTCCTAGACAGATTGTCCTCCTACCGTATTCGCAAATTGGATAATTCAGCATCGGTATAGATCTTTTCATCTGTCGATTTTACCCGTTCATCAATAAGCTCAGCACGTGTGTGCTCGAGTCTAAAAGAGAAAATAGATCCTCTCGGTACAAAAGGAAAAACTAATCAATTGATTTTATATACTCGGCTTCGAGCCGGGCATTATCAACATTTGCTTCGCGAAGGTCGAATTCGAGTTCATGTAAATTTCTATCGTATTCATCAGCCAATAATTGAAATTCTACGTCGGTACGTAGGTGTGTATATGGATAACGCCACCAAGCCAATGGATACAAATCTGAACCGGTATTGCTCAATAAGGCATTGAAATAAGACGCTTCAAGATTGACAAACGGCAACAGGCGCGCTCTGATTGTCGATGCACCACCATAAACACCACCTAGTTGACGATGAACAATTGATTAAAATAGAGAAATTTGAAGATAGAGAGAGAGAGAGTAAAAACATAATAGTTCAATCGAGTTGTTAATTTGACAAACAATTGTTTGCTGTTATCCCCGCCGAGAGAAGCTGATATCACCTGGTGCTTGTAAGTCAATGCAAATCAAACAATGCACAAAGTGTATCAGCCGTTTCGTGCAAGATGCCTATATGTGTGTGTATGTGTGTTTGGCAGAGTTAGAATAAGAAGATAGAATAGAATGAACGTTTCCATCTTACTCAATTGTCGCACTCCGAGAAACCGCGCGAGTGAGCGAATGAACGAGAGAAAGAGCGAGCACATAATAGTAAAAAGAAATAAGGAGCGAGAGGAAAAAGAGAAAAAAGTTCGACACCCGGAAGAGAGCATTTCCATTTGACGACGATGTAAAAAAAAAGAGAGACCGGCTTCTTTCTCTCCCTCTCTCTCGCGCGCTCGCTCTCTTTCTCTTGCACACCATGTCTGATGGTTGAACAATTGTGATGA